GGGGGGGGGGGGGGGGGGGGGGGGCGTGGGGCTCCACCTAAAAAAGGGGTACATTTTTCAGGCTTCACATAAAAGGGGTACATTTTTCAGGTTCACATAAATAAAAGGGTAGGAATTTCATAAGTTGTGGTCTATGAAAGGGAAGGGAAATCTCTCATCTTGACTACCGCCTCAATGTGAACTGAGTAAACAATACTATTTTTTTTGGTTAGCATCTCCTCTGGTAATGCTTGATGTTCTCCTGTGATATTGTTTATACTTTGCTCCAAGGGTTTACAAAAGGGATGCAGCATTCTTAAGGAGGTATGTGAAAGGGCTACCTTTTTTTGATAAAAGTTATACAAAAGGTTAAGGGGTTGGACCTCGGGGAGAAGCCCTCCGTCTAAAACTTTGTACAGTGCCCCGCCCCCCTCCCCCCACCTCAGGGAAAAAATATAGTGTTATGTGTATGCCACATTGGCAAAACACTGTAGATACCAGATTTACATACATGTTATGTACATTAAAGAATGAGTATTATGATTATTAAACCTTTATCTTTACCATTATACAAGTAACTCATCAAGTGTGGACCACATCAACTCACCAATTCTTCTTTATGCTTGATAATTAATTCATGAATTCTGTACATTTCATTTGGGGTAATTTTAATTTTAATGTCCTTTGACAGTGATAAATATTGTTCAATCTAAAGATAAAAATGACAATGAGATTAGGAACATGACACTGGGTTAAACAGTCACGTAATAATAATTCACAAGTAATAACTGGCATATAAAAACATCTGAAGTGACTTGTAAGCTTGAGTGGACATTGCTACTGTATGAGGAAGACTTAAATTATAATTATTATAACGATAGCTCCTTGAGTGGGCAAGATGAAAAGAATCCTGTGCTGTGATTGGCTACCCAAGTGGACAAGATAGCGCTATCTTGCCTGCTTGGGATTACCTACTGTGTCCCACAGGAAATAGTGTTTTGTTTTCCATAAAATAAATCCTTTGTTGACCAAGCTTGGTCGGTCAAGATGGCTGGATATTGGCCTTGATGCTTTTTTGCGAGTTTATGGACCTTGAATCTGTCTCGGACCATAAACAAGCAAAGAAAGAACTTGGCCAATATCCAGCCATCTTGACCTCTCACTTGGTGTAGTGTCGAACAGCTAAAATAAGCCACAAAAGGCAGCCACGAAGGCGAATGACAACAGTACACACAGTACACGTTTCAACACTTCTCTTCCCGCGCTCACACTCTCCCGGATGTATACTTTGACATGTACGACCGCTGTCCTAATATACTACATTCCCTCTCTTTCTTCGCTTAGATAGTTAACCTCGAAAAACAGAAACATTACAAACTTCCAGTTTGTTTATACATTGTAAAAGTTCAGTTCAAATCCAAATGTTCAAGACAAAAGTCACACTAGGCATAAACATAGCCTTTGCAGTTCAGTTCATAAAACAACGTTTCAATGTCACTCGTGCAATAACAGCGAACAATAATATGACAATGCAAATGTCTCTAGTTTTAGTACAGAACATAGTCACTCAGAGCCNAACCAAACAACAACGATAACTTTATTCCGCCATGACAGCTCGTGCACGACACTACAACCGAGAGGATCTGAGTTCTAACACATTACACCGAGAGCGGATCTGGATCCTAATACACAACAGTAATACTTGCGATTTCTGCCGTCGAGCATCTAAATTCATCAATATTATCCAACCAGGAAGTAATGTAAATGTGTCGAGATCAATGTACAAAACAAATGGATGCCTTTGAACAATCCGAAGTAACGTCTTTAGCTAAAATCGATTCAGATATTGCGATAGTCGATAAGCCAACAATGGTGAATAAACTAAAAGCGTAGGCCGAAAGTCCGAGAAGCACGACTGCTGACAAGATGTAACACAATGTAATGGGATGTAACACCGGATGTAAGTGTAATGATATCCTCTTGTAATGGGGTTGTTTTACAATGGTAATGGTGGAGAAAGCCAACATAAAAAAAACGAAACCGAAAAACCGAATAAAAGCATCTCAAAGAAAATTGAACGTTGAGCAATCTCATACCCTGGGAAACTAGGAACAAGGTTGAAATGTTTTTCGTATTACGTGATGTTCATTCACAATGTGTTTATGCTTACCGCACGTTCTGTATGCCATAGAACTGTCAACATGGCCGCTGTTTATCAGCTGAAGCTAAAATATGATTAGGACAAATTCGGAGCGGTTTTTAGATGCATTAACGATAAGCTTTCCTCTTGAAGATAAACNGGGGTTGTTTTACAATGGCAATGGTGAAGAAAGCCAAAACAAAAACAACGAAACCGAAAAACCGAATAAAAGCATCAAAGAAAAATTAAACGTTGGGCAATCTCATACCCTGGGAAACTAGGAACAAGGTTGAAATGTTTAGGTGCAAAGTCTAACTCGGATTCATACTTACCACAGGACCCCACGTTGAATTTTATTTTTAGTTGAATGGGTACAAATCTAATCTGCATTTTTGGCACGCACAACATGAATTTGCCTTTTGTTTTTTTTGCATACCTGTATAGACAGACAGAGTTCGAACGTCCAAGAGTTCTTAGAAAAATTAAGTTCCTTGTTCTCATTGAAGCCTGCACATCATTTGTTGTTAACGAAAACCTGAACATATTTTAACACCTGTCAGTGCTCCTGGATTTACTGTAGCTAAACCAAAAGATGATAAATGGTATCCCCTGTTATATAAACTTGATCCAGTGTAGTAAAGTCAATGGAGGTAATCAGGTTGCGTAAAACGATCTGTGAAGCGCTTTTCTTTTGTCCTCTTTATTCACCACTGTAAAACAGTCATAAAAGCGGATCACAAAAGGCAGCCACAAAGGCGAAAGACAACAGTACACACAGTACACGTTTCAACACTATTCCCGTGCTCGCACTATCCCTGATGTATACTTTGACATGTACAACCGCTGTCCTATTATACTACATTCCCTCTCTTTTTTCGCTTAGATAGTTAACCTCGAAAAACAGAAACATTACAAACTTCCAGTTTGTTTATACACTGTAAAAGTTCAGTTCAAATCCAAATGTTCAAGACAAAAGTCACACTAAGCATAAAAATAGCCTTTGCAGTTAAGCTCATAAAACAACRTTTCAATGTCACTCGTGCAATAACAGCGAACAATAATATTACAATGCAAATGTCTCTAGTTTTAGTACAGAACATAGTCACTCAGAGCCTTCGGACGGTTCGTAATTCTGCCGGATCTCCTCACAGGCTGCTCAGCTGAAGGTACAGCAGAAGGTACATCTTTTGGTTGTGATTCAGCGGTTGGTACTTGATCCTCTGCCATTGGTGGCGTCTCAAATGGCTTAGGTTCAGTCCGTGGTTCAGCATCCTGTAGCTGCGTTTCCTGTGCTTTTGGATCTGGCATATTGAAGGGCTTAATATGCTGAAGGTTGCGTTTCTACTGAACACCTTGTGGTGATCGCAACACTACCTGGTCTCCATAACGAGATATCACCTGATATGGTTCCTTCTCATAGCAAGGTGACAGCTTATTATCTTTCTTCTTCTCAAGTAGAACACTGTCTACCTCTCTCACATTTCGGTCTTTGGCGTGGAACTTCTTGTCAACATAGTCCTTGTTAAACTGCTTTCTCCGAGTGTTCCGATCACGAACGGTTTGGCCACCTACTTCTACTTCCTCCTCTTCAACATTGACTAGCTCAGGCATTTTAGTTGTCAGCTTTCTTCTAAATAGTAACTCGGCAGGACTCTTTCCTGTAGTTGAATGTGGCGTGGACCTGTACGCCAAAAGGAACCTGTTTAGCTCCTCTCTCCAATTCTTTCCTTCTGCATGGGCTGCTCTCATGGACTTTAGAAGCGACCTGTTCTGCTTCTCTACTTCGCCATCAGCTCTTGGCCATAGAGGTGTCGTGTAACGGTGTTCAATCCCCATTTCATTCAGATAATCTTCTACCTCTTTAGACACAAGATTTGAGCCATTGTCGGTACGCAGACCTTTAGGTAGTCCATGTCTTGCAAATTGGGCATCCAAGCAATGAAAGATGGTTTTGCTGGAGGTTGTTCGGATAACATCAACTTCCATCCACCGGCTGTAATAATCAACGAGAACTAACAAGTGTTCTCCAGAGGGTAACGGACCCATTAGATCCACAGCTACTTCTTCCCATGGCTTGTTGGGTAATGGTGTTGACTTCAATGGTGGGGGTGGAACGTTCTTGGTAACCATCTGGCACCCGTAACACTGCACATATTCTCTCGGCATCACGATCCATAGCAGGCCACCAGACCTTTTTTCTAAGTCTTTCCTTTGTTTTTACGACTCCCTGGTGCCCCTCGTGTACCAAACTGACAACTCTCTTGCGAAGTGCTTGGGGTATAACAATTCTTGTTCCCCGTAGAATCACATGACCGATAAAGTCAACTCATTGCGCACTGGCAAATACTGCTTTGGAGCTTTGTCCCATTTTCCTTGGATGAGGCAATTCCTGACTGTTTGCAACTCTGAGTCTTGTTCTGAGACTCGTTCAATCTCTTTGATTCTCAATGCAACAGGGACAGCATGTAGCGCTATCATGCGTATGTATCCATCATCTTCCAGGGACTGATCTGAAGCAGGTATCTTAGTCAGTCGGGAAAGGGCATGTGCGATGTTTTTTCGTGAAGGCACATAACAAACTTGATAGTTGTACGGTTGTAAAGGCAGAACCCAGCGCTCTATTCTGGCTGAAGGGTTAGACTTCCTTGAGTAGATGACTTTAAGTGCTTCATGGTCTGTCACCAGATCAAACTGTTGGAGCCCGCACAAGTAGAGGTGGAAGCGTTCACACGCCCAGACTAAGGCTAGTGCTTCCTTCTCTGTCTGACTATAACGACGCTCCACTTTTCTCAAACTACGACTGGCATAACAGACGGCACGGCTTTCCCCATTCTTTTCTTGCACCAGCACAGTGCCGAGGCCAACTGGACTTACGTCAGCAATAACACGGGTGGGGATGTCCTTATCGAAGTAAGTTAGGACTGGTGCACTTGCAACTTGACTCTTCAATCTCTGAAATGACTGCTCCTGCTCCTCGCCCCACACGAACGGTTCCCCTTTTCTTGCAGGTTTTCTGAGGGGATCAGCAGTGGTAGCAAAATCAGGTATAAACCTGGCACTAAATCCAACGAGTCCTAAGAAGCTACGGACTTCTGAAGGTGTCTGAGGCTGACTTGCTTCTGCAATGGCTCTGACTTTTTCCTCAGTTGGGCCAACTCCATGCTTGCTAAGCAAAAGACCCATGAANCAACAGTCTTTTGAAAGGATTATTGGGCTTTTTGCGACTTTGAGTTTTCAAGATCACAACTAATTAATATGCATGAAAAAATTGGGACCAGAGAAAAAAGTCTGGATAATCAAATAGTCCGGATAATCAAGGTCCGGATAATCGAGGTTCGACTGTAGTCAGTTTTACAGTATTTTTTCCTTCCTTTTTAATCAACAGGGATAATTCTGACTTGTCTACAAAGCCCTCACTAGGCTTTGGCTGGCCAGTGTCTGTCATTTTTGTTTTCAAATGGATCTACGAAACAAACAGATATCAGGTACCTTTGTCAGTATTAACATTTTTAAATCTTNCCTTTTGTAACTGAAAAGCCCCTTTGGGGAGTTGCAAATAATGTATGTATGTATGTATGTATGTATGTATGTATGCATTTCGTTGGCGAAATAGCAAATCCCCATGAAAGATTCACTACAGCAGGGATTCGCAGCAAAAGCCATCGTCAGCTGTTTGTTACTGAGGCAATCACTGTAAATGACTCATGAGAGAACCTGCAAAGATTCACAGCAAAAGCAATCATCAGTTGTTTGTTACAGTGAGGCGATCACCGGAAAAGACTCACAACAGAAGCAACAAGGATTCACAGCAAACTCAATTGTCATTTGTTCATCAGGCGATCACCGCAAAAGCCTCATGAAGAAGCCACAAGGATTTGTAGCAAATGCTATCGTCAGTTATTTGTTACAGTGAGGCAATCACCACAGGTGTATTTTGGTGAGCGATCAAGCGCATTTTGACCAGGTGAGCGCCATCTTGGATTCAAACTGGGAAGAGGCTTGCACAGAGATGAAAAGGTGTCCTAGGGAGTGGTTGTTAGGCTGAAAGAGGAGTAACGGGGGAGGGGGAGGGGAAGGAAAAATACGCCTGGCATAGGTCACTGTTAAAGAAATGCTGTTTGTCCACGAATGGAGTTTGTGACTAGTGCAGTGTGGAGCTTTAAGATTGATGCCTGCCAATAAACAATAAATCAATATATTTTTTTTCCACTAGTGAGTCCAGGAAGAGAATTATGGCAGCCAAAGAGAATTTTGATTCTGCTCTTGAGAAAACTCTCCAGTGTTTATCTCATCTTGGAATGTCGTGAATGTCTTCTACAAAGAATTTAAGTTTTTCACATAACACTGAAATTCTTTATAGCAGAAGGCTTTTCCAAGAAACATATTTTGTGCATTTATTTTTTTCAAGAATTTGTATTCTTCTGAAAAGAAAAATATTTCTTGAAAATTAATGTGGCAGAGCCACTTGTTCTTCCCATGATTGTGGCCATTACTGCAAAAAATAGGTCTTAAACTGTCAGTTAATACCTATATGTGAATATGTAAAATGAAGGGAAAAAATATTCTTTTTTCAAGAAATATGCTCTTGGGAGCCAACATTATGTAAATTTCTTTTTCAAGAATTCTGAATTAAGAAATAGAAAACATGTACCGTGTTTCTATCGAGTTATAGAAATACGAGTGGAAGTTTGGGAGAATGAGAAATGCTGTGGGAACAGGAGCTGTAGGCCAGTGTTTCTACAGCTTTTTCAAGTTATCCCAAAGTTTCACGAGTGTTTCTATAGCTTAATAGAAACATGAAGGACATGTTTTCTATTCCTTTTAGAAAACACCGCAAGGAAAAAAAGGAAACAGCTTGTTTACTTTGATCATCAAAATGTAAATTCTCTTTGCTTGCGCCATCATTACGTCAACAGCTCCTGCTAGTTCTGTGTTTCTATTGAGTTATAACCAGTCAGTGTGTGTATTTTCTGAGAGCTGTTTTCTAATGGTAATTGCATTATTCTTGTTAATCCTGTTAAAAGAGTTTTGCAGGAAAATACCATGACAGTTTGGAGCCACTCCAAATGAGAACTCTTTCTGTTTCACAAAAAATACACTGAAATGTATCTTTTTAAATCCAGAATGAAAATTAATAGAACAGGTTTTTGAGAGCTAGGTCTCGGCATCATTCTATTGTGAGAGAAAACATTAAGGTTTCCATTTGATTTGTTTTCCTATGAACAGTAAATTCCATCTCATATGATATTTAAGGCTGTAACTGTACATGTGGTGGAGTTATAATTTTTTAAATTGGTCAACATGACATGGCTAGCTAAGGGGTAGAGACAGCAAAAATAACATATTTGTCTTCAACAATAACAACAGTTTAAAACTCTAGTCTGCTTAGAATGACAATTCATATTAAATCTAGTCTCAATATCTACAATTTTCTTTAATTAATATAAATTTTACCCTGATTGGAGAATTTGCATTATGAAAATAATGTAAATATTATCCTTGAGAAACACCAAATTTAACTTCAGAATAATAATCCAATAGAATTTGTTTAATATACATGTAATCCTTAAGTAACAACACCTTTTACCCTTAAATAATAAACAATTATTATTTAAACCTTGCAAAACAACAACTTTAACTTTAAAAGAATTATTTTAAATTTGCGTGCAATTCTTGAATGTCAACTTTACATTTTATGAAGGAAACAATCTATTAAGAGGCAAATTTCGACATGGTAAATTTGAGCTGAACACATATCAAAATTAGGCTATTGCAGACATTAACGATTCAAACCACACGAGGACATGTACATAGAAACCACACCTTTGTATTTTGTTAATCTTCTAGGGCATTTGGGTCCTCCCTGGGACAAATGTAGTGGTTTCCATCATGGTTATATATATGCATAACTGAAGGCAATAAAAGTTGCTGTGCTTCAGTGATAAACAGGCCACTTGGAAGTTCTTCCTCCTTGGTTTGATAGGCATTCAGATTAGTAACAAACTCAACGGTGTCGTAAAGTTTAAGACCAAAAAATATATGTGCCAATGAGCCATATTGTCTCTGTTGATCCAAATACTGGGTTTGCATCCTTCAGTTCTGCCAACAATATAGTATTACGATCTTGTTTAAAGCAAGGCCCATGGATTGTCACTGATGCTCCTTGATACAATGGTAATTATGATGCAAAATCTTCAATATCTGGATAGAAACTGGAAATGTACCTTTTAGCTTCACCTCTTTCAGCTCCATCAAGTATTTTTATGCACATGGAACCCTCCGCAACTAATTATTCGTTCTGAAAGAGAGGATGATCATTAGCTGATGCAGCCTTACATCCTGACAATGGAATTCCATCAGCACGGACTCCACTTTGAGTTCTTTCAGATAATGTCTTCAGCAGGTTTTTAAAGTTGTTGGTGATTTTGGGGATTTTCTTGAATTGTTGATGTTTAGCTTCAAATTGCATAGCCCATGCTCTTACCAGTGGCCCAAATTTCAGTATCTGGCTTAGTACATGAACTAAATAATGTTGCTTTGTGGTGATATTTTCATGAAAAGTGTCTGAAAAGCTGTAAATGTTCCTTGATTAGCCCCTTAAGGTAATCAAGAATATTAATACTTATTTTTCTACTCAAAAAATAGCAGTTATTTCTAGGATTGTCGTGAGCACCCTCCGTACATTTGGACAATTGTGGGCGTACTCTTCCCCCAAAAATGCAAATACAGGCCTTAGAAGCCACGTTTGGGCTGTAGTTTGCCCAAGGTTGTCTGAAGGTGTTTTCAGGTCTTCAAGAGTTATGGCTACTGGTTTATCTTTTAGTTCTGAGTACCCATATGGAAAGCTTAAATAAAAGTGTTGATTTCATTCAAAGAGCAAATCTTGTTATTTAAAAAGTAATGAACAACAAAATATAGTCTCCTTGACAAGGATCACTCGAGAATTACATGCATCACATCTTGAGGCAACTGTTCAGTCACATCAAAATAGGGAGAGTCCAGAAGTATGCTCCTCTTGTTGGTACCATACTCTTTTGAGAAATTTTGGTAGAGGTCTTCATCCTGCTCGATAGTGTTTAGATGGTAGTCATGAAGTTCTTTAGATCGTAACAGAAAGTCTTCTTCCACAATCTTCATTTGCATTTCATCAAAGTCTGTCATGCAATAACAACACTTCCTCTTTGCCCCACCAACAGACTCCTCCAAGCAACTGTGAACTTAAAAGTCAACACCAGCATCACGTCCAAGCCTTTTTAGGTCTTCAATAAACAGAGCTCAAATTTTATCCCTCCCATACTTTTTTAGGTATTGGTATTCTACAATAGCCACAAGGTTAATTGATTTTAACTTTGATCTGTACTCTGAGTACAAATTGGCTAGCTGTCACCAGATCAAACTGTGGGAGCTTGTACTGGTAGAGGTGGAAGTGTCCCACACCTAGACTAAAACTAGTGCTTCCCTCTCTGTCTGGCTATAACGATGCTCCACTTGACTCAAACTACAATTCACATAACAGACGGCACGGCTTTCCCCATTCTTTTCTTGCACCAGTACAGCACAGAGGCCAACTGGACTTGCGTCAGCAATAACACGGGTGGGGATGTCCTTATCGAAGTAAGCTAGGACTGGTGCACTTGCAACTTGACTCTTCAATCTCTGAAATGACTGTTCCTGCCCCTCACCCCACATGAACGGTTCTCCTTTTCTTGCAAGTTTTCTGAGGGGATGAGCAGTGGCAGCAAAATCAGGTATAAACCTGGCACTAAATCCAATGAGTCCTAAGAAGCTACGGACATCTGAAGGTGTCTGAGGCTGACTTGCTTCTGCAACGGCTCTGACTTTTTCCTCAGTTGGGCCGACTCCATGCTTGCTAAGCAAAAGACCCATGAATACCACTTCAGTCATTCGGAAGGTGCACTTCTCAGCATTCAAAGTCAGCTGCTTCTCACAACGACATTGCAACACACTGTGTAAGTTCTTTTCATGTTCCTCAGTGTCTCAACCATGAATGATAAGATCCTCTGCTATGTTTGCCGTCCCTTGGAGACCTGCCATTGACTTGGTAACGATATGCTGGTACTTCTCTGGTGCAGCATTTACACCAAAATTCAAATGCTTGTAGCGGAATATACCATCATGGGTGGCAAAAGCAGTGATATCCCTTGACTATGGATCCAACTCGATTTGGTGAAAACCCCACCTTTAATCTAACTTGGAGAAAACACCACTCCCATTAAGGCTTTCAAGGACTTCATCTATGGTTGGTATGGGCAGTCTTTCCCAAATAATGGCCTTGTTGGCTCTCCGCATATCGACACATAACCTTATGTCCCCTAATGGTTTAGGAGTGACAACCACTGGACTTACCCACAGCGTAGGCCCCTTGACTTTCTCAATTATATCCTTTTCAAGGAGTTCCTTAACCTTGGCAGTTACTTTGTCCTTTACGTAAAAAGGTACTCGTCGCATTTTCTGAATGACGAGTTACACTGGGATCAATGTGTAGCCTTCAACTGATAATCTTTAAGCTTTCCAATTCCCTGGAACACACTAGGGTATTTTGCTTTGAGCTCTCCCACAGAGGTATCATCAACAGTGTTATAGTCTGTTGTCCTGAGAGTTCCTGTGGGATCCACACGAAGGATTCCAAGATCTGTGGCAGTTGAATATCCCAGCAAACAACGCCCGGATTCAACAAAAATGACATTTGCCACAACCTTTGCTTTTGATACAGAAACTTCTGACTGAAACCGGCCATCAACTCCAAGCTCTCAACCCCCATAAGCATACAATCTCTTCATGCAAGGTTTTAATTCAATCTTGAGCCCCTGATACTCTAGTTCCTGGAGTGTATCTTTACTGATAAGGTTACTTGCAGAACCTGAATCAATTAACATGTCTCTGCTGATTCCACCAATTGTCACTGAGATCACTGGCTCAGCGGAATTTAACATAGCACACGTCTGTTTTTCTATAGTCAAAGCGTATTTGTCATCCTCACCTGATTGGCTACAATGATCCTCAACTTGATTGGCCTGTCTCCCCTTACCATGGCGCTGCTGTCTGCCCAGACGAAGATGTGCTAGCTGAAAGTTCATCATTTGGAGACATTTTTGCTGTGATAAAATTGCTAAGAAAATGGCTCAAAGAGTAGCAATGTTGCAGTAAATACACTGATGCGAAATGACACGTCGAAAGTAACACACCTTATGACGTCACTAGTCCCAGGCCTCAGAAAACGACATTTGTGATTTGGCAACTTTTGAGTTGTAAAAAAATATGTTTTACGCACCGGACCAGAGCTTAAATTGGAAAATTATGAATCAGTGCAATATAGACTTCACTTTTGTAGAATAAAAAAGCGGTCAAAAATTTCAATTCATAGGCACTTCAAGGGACACCGGCCCCTAATACAAATAAAAGTGAAGGGCGCAAAGTAGCCGCCCCAATAAGGCACTAATTACACACCGGACCACATCCAGGCCTGGCAAGAGAAAAAATGTACCACACCCAGCTAGCACATTCCACTTGCACAACTCAGCACGAAGGGTCAAAACAATAAAGGAACAAACCGGCTCTGAAAGATGAAAACAACACAAAAAAATGCCAAACAAACACAATGCGCAGGATGTAACAAAATTGAGGGTGGCGCTCGTTAAGCAACGTTAAGTATAGACAGATCCTTTAACACCGCCCCTCTATAGCTCCTATAAAGTTTAATTGAGCCTAAGTCATTTAAATGAACGCCGTCCTTGAGGTAAATGCCACTGCTCGGGTTCCAAAACCCAACGTGCCACAATAGAAGCAAAATTGCAAAGGCTCAAGAACAACCTTTAAGTATTTATGTAGCTTAATTACTCGGGAGTTAAAGTCAAGCATCTTGGGCGACAGGGGACAGTGCTTAATGACCTGACAGACCTCAATCACTTTAACACTACAATTCTCATGAAGGAGCTGAACTAGTTCCTCAAGGGAAGAACCAACAGATTCTGGAGAGGATGTGGTGAGGTTGTTGGTGCCCAACTCGAGAATTACGATGTCAGGTTTCCAGCCACGCACAAAACCAAGATCGAATTTTTCAACTTTCATGACCGTTCGCCTGCCGACCCCAAAAAGAGCAATTTCTGCAACATCCTTAAGTCCCAGATTATGGGAGTAAATGTTAGAATAGGACAGAAAAGAACTTAAGTGATCAACGAAAGAGAGACCTAAGATAAGAGCACGTGGTGGAGACATTGCGTGAAAAAGAGTATTTAGGAAATTTTGTTAAACCTAACGAGTGATAGCTGATGCTGCTGCTCACCAAAATGACAACCACTGATCAGAATATATATTAAAAGGCACCTGCCTGATATTAAAGTAGTTAAAGCTTTTGACAGCTACGAGCAGCGACATTTACACTCAGGCGGCTAGGACTCTCACACACACCTTTATGCAGAAATCTGATATGATCCATGAAGCCAATTGTTCTCTGCCAAGCAGGTATCCTTAACAATGACCCTTTCTCATCTTACATAAACCTAATTATGCATGCTGCATAATTGGTGGGTTTTTTGTTTACAAATATTTCTTTAAAAAATCCTTGTGAAATGTGAGGAAGGACTATCTCTTTTATCCTTGTTTTAAAAAGTTCTTGTTTACTGTACTTTAATTTTCCTGTGTATGGCTAAAACTTCAGGTACTCTGTTTTCCTGATAGCAGACAGCAATATACCTGTTCCTACGGATGACCATGATGCAGTAGAAAAACAGGAATCTTCGTTTCGCCATGGTGTACATTATCTTCTTGAATCTACCTGCCCAGATAAAGGTCTGTTCAGCCACAGGTGTGTTGAGATGAGGATACTTTTCCTTGAGGTAATTGCTCCTGTATTTAATCCTACACAGTGGGTCTTTATGGTTCCTCATGTGTAATCTATGCAAAATGTTTTGCACCTTGAGCCACATTAAATTGTATGGTTCGGGAAAAAGTAACTCTTTTCTGGCAGCGCATAGTCTGTCCAAGCTACACATGTCATTTGAAACAATAACCTCTCCCCACTTGCTTTTGGGGATGCCTTCCAGTCATTTGAGAAGCTACTGAAGTGTGATCAGGAAGACCTGGCCAGGACCTTCTGAGCTGCAGAAATGTCAAAAAAGCAAAGAACTCATGAATGGAACAAAAAATATTTACACTGAATTAAAAAGGGAATGCCGGGAATGTTTAGCCCTTTTTTTACTTCTGAATGTACGTTCATGTGTTAATTTTGTAAATTCTCCTCCAGACAAGTGCTCAATCCAAGAGTGTCATAAGAAATAGGACACTACATTGGTAATGGTTCTCATAACCGAGAGTTTGGTACAAAAATGTTCCTGGTCCAATCCCAAGATTAACTGAATTTTAAATAAAGGGGCATCTTCATAATATACTTATGCCAATGGATAATTATTACTTACACATAGAGAGGGCACCATCTTTCAATATGACCTCCACGTACAAAGTGGAGTAGGCTGTGGGACCATTTCCCTAGAGACCTTTGACTTTCACTGGTATCCTTATTGCAAATGGCATTGCCATTTTCATCAGACTCGCATCCCTGAAGGATTGAATGATGCCTACTAATGAAACTTTCTGTCCCTGGAAAGAAAACGAAACCATGACTTATCAGTCGATATTCTAGTTGAACAAAAACCTTTGTTTTCCATATGAACTCAGTGCATGTCTAATGTTCAGGGCCCTAGTGCACTGAATCTATCCTCTTAAAAATACGTCAGCAATAGTTACCAATGACAAAATGGTGGTCCTCATTCTTTGAAAGACACCAAGTACTAGTGCACAGAACCGCACAGTGAGTCAGGACAGCAAGAAGGCTAGCTTGTCATATGACAAAACGGTCTACTTAAACCAGTGGCCCATCTAAAAATGTAATTGATTCTGATGTCAATACCTTGAGATTCAGCGGCAGATGAACCCCTGTGCCTACTATTGGTCTGCAGGTTGGCAACAACATGGTTTATTTTCTTGGCATTTGTGATGGTCACGTCTGTAGGATCTGAGCCTATTATGAATGGACCAAAAACACAAATTACACTAATTGAGAATACCAATGGCCCATACATTAAGAGATGCATGATGTACTTTTTTGTTTTTATTTGATTCATGATTTAAGGGATAAAGTACTACAGTTTCACACATAGGTGCCTGGGGATAGTTGAACCTGCAAATATTATAATTTTTCTTTTTAAGACAAGTGCAAGAGTTGTTGTGGTACTGTTGACTAACTAATTCCTTTAATTCTCGTCTGTCATCAGGTGGTTTTGCACATGTAATAATGGAGTCTATGTAACCCATCACATGTGCATCAGAATGAACTCCAAATTTTGGGGCAACCCTTATCCATATCAGCATAATTATGAATATGAGGAGAGCTATGTTGCTGAATTTCAACTCTACAGAACCAATCCGCGACTTGTCTTAGAGGAGCACAATCACTCAGCAGAAAGTCTCTAATGAAAGTCTGAACTTGGTAGTCAAATTGACAAGCACATGTGACTGGGTCACTTTGAATGAGCCTACAATTGTCCTCCGAAGTCATATTCTCAAGCTGTTCATTTGTATAATCTTTAGTATCAACAAGTTTCCCCAACATTTTCAAAAGATGAATCCATTTAGTTTCTGTAGCAGAAAAACTACAAAATAATGTGGCTGGTCCTAATCGTTGAATCATAACAAATATCTTTCTTTGCCTTTTCAAAGTAGGGAGGTGATCCTTGAATTGAGTGTAAGAATCTGTACCCTTATTCTGCATGCTCAAGTTTGTCAAGTGCACTTTCCTTTTTCAGCTGACTTGCTGTTATTCTATTAGATCCTGATTTGTGTTTTCTTAAAGCAATCTGTGACTTCCCAAGAATAATTTTCATTTGCAACTTTTTTGTGTTGAAAAATATATTCTCCACACACTTTGCAGCTCTCCTGTTTGTGCGTCTAAGCTCTGACTTACAAATATCACTGTAATGAACAGGAACAAACCTTTCATTGTTATCTGCTCTTCTCTGCCCACAGAATATATGTGACCCTCCAAGGAAAAACAGGGATAAAGGTGATAGCACACTTATAACATGCTTCCACTTGGAAATAAAAGAATTTGACTTTAGCATGCTTAAAGCATGTTCAGGAGCACACTTCATGAGTAAACTCCTTTGTTTGGCTGGACACAAAGAACAATAAGCATACACACACTAACAATGCAGTCAAACAAAGGAGCATGTTAAACTTCAAAAACACAAGATAACGTGCCACAACACGCTTTAGTGTGCAAAATAGCACAACATGCTTAAAGCGCAATACTTTCAACTGCTGTTCGGAAAGAGTTTTGGGCGGAGAGAACATTGACGAACATTGCAGTTGCTCATCGATCAACACAATCAGAGACAGCAACTTCTTTGCCTGTATTTGTTTTGAAAGGAAGAAAGGTGATCAGTTTGTTTAAAAACATTCTACTTGTGTTTGAGGTTATTCAGAATAATAGTATCTTTTGTTCATTGTCCAACACGGATGCCAAGTTTTCTCCCATACTTTGTCGCTATTTATTAATTGTCGCTAATTTAGAAGCTTTTAGAGTAAAATAGTGAGATTCCAACTTTTTGGAGAGCAAGATCGCAAACTTTCTGCCATGTTCCTTTTAGCTTTAGCACATTCTAGCATGCTAACTCACACACTAAACGTGTTACGGGTAGCACGCTAATCAAAACAAGAGGTTTAGCATGTTAACATATTCAAAACAAATCGTTGTGTGTCCTTCATTGTGCTACAAATTAAAAATATGCATAAAGTGTGTCTTAGGACACACCAAGTGTGCTGTGTAAGCGTGTTGTGAGCATCCTATCACCTTTATCCCTGTTTTCCCCTGGAGGGTCACATACTTGGATAACCAAGTTCTTGACAGTACTTATCTTTAAAAATGCTCAAAGGTTTATTACCCTCTCCTGGGGCAACATTAAGCACCTTTTCACATTCTGAATTATCCATGAAATTTGGAGAAGTTAAAATCGTGTCTGTTACACCAGAGTTGTGAATCATCTACTTCAATTTTCTCTGGAATTGTCTCCATTAAGGTTACTATCCTCTAAATGTAAATCAGAATCATCAGATTCAGAAGCATTTTCAGTACCTATACTCTTTCAACTACTGACTGTTGATCTTAATATTTTCTTGTTTATAAAGCTTGGGTGTGTGAATAAGCCACTGAGCAATTTGGATAAGTCTCCTTAGTTAGGATCATAAATTTGTGGAGTTAATGAGGGTTTATAAATATTATCTCAAAATATTGCCAAATTTGTTAGACCCCTGATTTGAACTGCCTATTGAATTTTGTCAGTGCCCTTTGTCACAAGTTCAAATTTGTCCTAACGTGATTGAAGGGATTAGTACCAGGGATTTGTTGCTGCAACAACCTTCACATGTACACTCAAGGAACAGTCTTACTACATATGAACCAGTTTCCCCGTGAAATGACTCCGAAGATAATGCCTTTACCTAACTTCTCACCAAAGTAAATTTACAAGTACAGAAATAATTTCAGCAGTTATTGTTTATTTGGTAATTATTAGTATAAAGTAGATGCAACATCAGTCCACTTGACATAATTCATAGTGTTCAAAATGTCATGTATTGGTAGTTAGAATAATTTTGTAGTAAATGAAAACAAATATTTTTAGCCATTTGGCTGGGGCAAAATTTAGTTTATACTGGTGTTTTTTTTTAGTTAAACAAAAAAGTAGAACATATTGTACACAAGGCTGGCCTTAAACATATTCAATCACTGGGCCCGTATAATTACATGGTTGTATTGTCATTACTAACTACTTAATACCCGAGAGTGAGGTTGTTATGGAAAATCTCAAACTGAGGCCTTGCCGTGTTGACCGAGCGGTAGCGAGTTCAATACGGTAGGTGGAGGTTTGAGATTTTCCCATAATGGCTGAACGGTCAAGGTTATTAAGTTGTTTATTATATGGCTTATGAATTAAAGAAGTGAAAAAAATTATTCGAGCGGAAGTCATCCATTTACATCCGGCGATGTGTGCGTTTACCGATTCATTCATCGTCTCAAACCCAGGGCAAAACTACACAGTCAGTGAACTTTGCCACTGTATTACATATTCCCTTAAAAACAGATTTCTCTACAGGAAAAAATTATTGTCACAGCCTCAAGAAGGTATTTTAGTATCGTGGTGCCACAACTTGATGGGGGAGTTTTTCCGACTTTTGTGGCGAAACATCAACGCATATAGAAAAGACAGAAAGTGATTCAAAATAGTCCAAACAAACAGTCTTTCAGTGACAGAAAATACTAATACTTCAGAATGCACTGCTCAGAATAACTCGATCTTTGCATTCGCTTTCGACAACATATCTTCGCCCTCATTCTGGCATTTATGGATGAACTTTTCAAGCATTGTGAACATCTAAAACCTTCTGCAGCTATCAGAAACACTGCTACCGAGAGAAACCGCCTGATTGTTTACATCTGATGATCCTGGAAGCTGATTTACACTTGCTTGTGTTAAAGCGAGGGAATCTATTTGATGAGAACTGTGACGGAGTTTAATATTTCGGTAATTGTTGTGACTAAGATAATAACTTTTAAGTTTCTTTGTGTTGTTTTGCTCAGGATGCATGACAGATCTGCCAATGGTGTTTTTCACTTGGCGATTTTAGCTTTACTTAAGACTCGGCAAACTTTGATTGTTTTTCACCAGTGCTCGCCAAAGTTACCGGCTGGTAAGTCAAAAACGACTTCCATATAAATTTTATTAAGGGAAAATCTCTAAACTTTTAGCTACTTGGAATTAAATTTACTTTCTCTTACTGTTTTTAATCGGCTTTCATCGTTTCAATGCGCTTGAATTTTCAGAGCTGAGCTCTTCCTAATTTGCATAATCCGTAATTGGCCCGTGGGCATTATGGCTACATAATGACCGCTCAGGTCTCACTCTTAGCTGATCAGAGCGTGCATCACATCGGCCACAATCCAAAGCCACATAATAAATACAAATATCTAATCAAGGAATACTGAAATATACTATTTCTGAAAATTTGAAATACTTTGACATTCCCTGTTGTTACAAGCAATATTTTCCAGACATTTGGAAGAAAAGCAGTCAAATGCTTTGGTGTGGCATGACATTCTTGTATAAACCAAAGATGAAACATAATTTTATTCCTTGTTATGTTCAGAGAGTCCACTTGACAAGTGTGCAATTCAGATTGTTAAACATGGCACATGTTATCAGTTACCATAATTTTGTAGTATATCAGAACAATACATCCTCTGTGATTATATTTTCTTAGTTATTATTGCCACTGTGTAACTTGCCTGGTTCTGCACTGATTAAATAATCATAAACCCACATTTACAAGACCCACTGCATTTCCAATGAAATGAAGAGGAACAATTTGGAAAATCATAGCAACCAAGAACACAGTCATGTTCACTATAATTGGTACTTGTTCAAAATAATTGGGACTAATTGGTGTTAGTGGTCATTGCTTGTTATCGCATATTAGAGCCAATCAGGATCTTCCATTTTTATGGCCCATGGAGTCAATAATGTTATCTGCTAACAAGGCAGTTATAACCAAGGAGTGGTTTGTTATTCCCAGGCAGTGAGGCCTGGGTTTAAATTTCGGCTCTGTTTTTTTTTTCCTCGTTCAGTCACAAATCGCCGTCTGGTCTCCAAAGCGCATGCATCACCTGTGCATGCGTACAGCAAATGGAATTTACAGAAGTTGTCGTCGTGAAAAGTTAGCATGGATTCCATGATTTCTGGGGCGATGAAATCATATACAAATGAGCACACCGTTCAAGGTAGACCAACACTAAAGGACATTAAGCGTTTTCAGAACGGGGCAGTCTGCAAGCCTTACAAGAGATCAATTTACGACCAAACATTTTGAGTGAATTTATCAAGAATCATGTTATACCAAAGGAGMCATCAACTGGGGCTATCAGCTCTTCAACTTGATAAAAAGCATCTTCAGAAGCGTCATCGTAGGATCGTGAACCAAGTAGAATCCCAGTACGAACTCAAGAATGTCTGACCAACAAGAGCAGAAAGGTTAGACAATTTGTTTACGAATGTATCTGTTTGAGTACACCTAAGTAAAACGCTCCGAGGAACTTCATTAAGTATAATAAAGATAAAATCTCAAACTAAACGATATTTTCTCGTTATTTTGTTGTAACAGAGTTATGTGTCTATAAGAGTGAAACCCATGGAGCGAATTACTGTACATTTAAGTTGAAAGAAACTAATGTACATGTATGTTGACCCCAGCAAAACAATTTGCCAGGTATTACAGTTCAAACATTAGGTTTTAGCGGCTCTGAGGTGAATGTATAATCCCACTAGTTGTTAACCTGGGTCTGGAACTTTTTGTTAAATCTTTTCAACTTATTCCATTTTGTGCCAAAATATGATCGTTTGCCGCAAAGTCCGTGCTTGCCCTCGAAGAAAGAGACATGCTTTTACTATTGAAAAAGTTGTTTTTAAATGTGCTTAACTGTAAATAGTCAAAACATTAGGTTTTAGCGGCTCTTAAGTGAAGGTATGATCCCGATGGTTGTTAACTAGAGTGTGGAACTTTTCTTAAGCTAAAATCATTTTAAACTTATTCCATTTTGCACCAAATACGCGCACGATCGTCTGTCGCAATGTCTGTGCTTTTTCCCTCAAATAGACATGGAAATGCTTTTGCTATTGAAAAAGTCTTTTTTAAATCTGTCTTGTCTGTTCTGTTCTGAATTCATTGATTAGGAGAAATGCATGTCAATTGAACTTTTTATTAAACTCACCTCTGTTGTTTCATGTGAAACTCAAAGAAAGATGAAGTCTCCTCAATATTGATTTTCGCCTTTCAGTGTCTCCACTCGGTGTTAAGTTCTCTGTCTCTTCGCACATTATTATATAGTATTTTTACACTTACATTTGTTGACAATTGATAGGTGACCAGTCCTGCATGAGTTTGCATGCTGAACACATGAAGTGAATGCAAAGCCTAATTGTTCATACCGAAAACAGTCCTGTGGGTGGTAGGGTGGGTGCGAGAAAAGGCAGTTTAGGGTCGGGTGTATGGCGTGTCTTAAAGATTATTTTATTTAAAAGTCAACTGAAATGTGATAAAATAACTTTATTTCACACTCTTGATTTGAAGCTGTAAATTAAATACTTTAAATTTAAACTTGTGAGTGGTACTGAAAAATTGTACGTGAAGCATATGGGCACAATGTCAGTTGTGCATGACCCTTGGTTGTTCTATTTATGACCTGACAGCGATAAATGAATCAGACGTGAGTCCCAAGCCCATCAGGTAGGAATTTGACCCAAGGTCAACAACAATGACATGTTGCAGGTTTTGCTTTCAACTGCATTGTTGTCAAGATGTATACTTAAAATTGACTTGTTCGATGGAAACTGTTTTTTTTAGAAATACTTGAATGAAAAAGCTTGAAACCTGTCTTTGATTAACTTAATATTTTTGATGTTGAATGTTATAGCGCCTTCATCAGCTTGCGTGACTTCGACATTGCAGTGGAAGATAAAAATGGCCTTAATGTCCTGTTTATCAGGGACTCAAGGCCAGATGAGAGCACCTTGTTCATTCTCTGACAGAAAGTTGATCTGAACCTTATTAGCCAGAATTTTTTCTACTTTTCCAATGTAGAGACCTTCTTTGTAGGCAATGGCAACCCACTCGTTCAATGTTAGTTTCTTCAGGTCATAATCCTACAGAACAAAACAAAAAATGAGTTAATTTTTTCTGCCGATTTCTAGTTTTGATACCGTTTCAAAAATTCTGACGACCATAAAACTGACATTTGAAGTTTAGGTTGTCCATCCCGATGTATGTATCTTTTGAGATTATCACAGGTTGAAGTATTTTACCTTGTTTTTTAAATCTCTCGCTTCCATTCTACTCATTTCGGCCTTTGTTAACAACTCACATTCTGACTCAGAGGTAAAACCCTTTGAAATACAAAACATATAGAGGCCAGTTAAAATCATTTGTTCACTAATAGCTTATAATTTATTGTACTGAAGCTGTCCTCATGAAATGAGATGGTGAAATTTTGTTGCTCAAGAATCTAGAAGGGAACACTTGCACTATATAGTTATAATTCAATTCAATTCAGTTCAATTCCTTTTTCTATACTATACTGGTTATTTACATACAATTATAAGGTAAAGTACTGAAAATAAAAAATTAAGAAATGTGAGATTTTCAGTCTTTTTACAATTCATAACTACTGTGCTGGTTTGCACAAGGTGGCTGATCTAACTCGGTTGAACTACTGTTTCTTTTACTTTGCACTTCATAGGTAATGTAGATAATACTCTTCTGAAGTAATTGTGAGCAGTACTTTAATACCTGTGGTGAATTCACTCGATTTACTTGATTCACTTGATTCCTCTATCCTTTCTATATGGTTAGCCTGCCAAATTAAGAAGGCATTTGATTATATAGGGCAGACTATGCCTAAACGCTCCTGAAACTGGAAAAGAGCTGACAGAGAAGGTCACGCAAAGTTTGCTAGAACTACTGTGGTGCCATTTATAATAATTTAACTGTAAGAATCTTAGCTACTTCTATACCTTCCAAAGCATTGACAAGGGCTTGTCAGCTTCACTATCACCATCGCTGTTGTATTCTAAAAGATTTAGGTCAAATACATCATTCACCTCACAAAGGTAGGCCAAAACAGCAGTGTTGTGATAATGAGGGCCATTGTCTGTAGATAGAAGAGCACATGTAAGAGAAACATGAAGATGACAGCATAGTAATATTCATATTATCTTGAACAAGTGACCTCTAGAAAAGTTTCATACTATTATAAATAGGTACAACAATAACTTGCATTTTGGAAGTGTGTGAACTCAATCATGATAACACCCAGGGAATTAACCCCCCTTGGCAAATGATCACCCCTTTTCCCCCTTTCCATGTAGTGCCTTTGCTTCAACTAAATGTATACTAGCAGAAAAAAAGGCATCCTGTTTGGTGTCTTCTGACCACACGTCAAAAACTTCACTGCTCTTCTCATTGTCCGAGACTTTGGCAATCATGTAACACCCACGCAAATAAAAATACCTCTCTTCCCATACCAGTCCCTCTGGATTTCTTTGCTTTGCTTTCCTAGTTCAAGTTTCATTTTGTAGGCAATTATCATGACACACTCTCCAGGCCTCAATTCTTCACAACAAACTTTTAGTAGTCACCCTGATGTTTTGTTGGTAGCAAATGTGACAAATAGTCTTGATGTATTCCATACAGCTCTGTTAACCTTGGCTTCAGCTCTGTTTTGCTAACATCTGGAAGCATTTCAATCTCTTTTAATAGAGAGCTGTACATAGCACAGAAGGGTGGAACATCTGCACACATTGCTCTGTGGTCTTCTGTGCAGGCATTAAATGCATATAACATGCACAGTTCAAGGCGGTGACTGTTTTTGTGCCAATTTCGAAAACTTGGTTTTCAAAAATGTCTGATAAGCACGCACATCTTTTATCATGGATGATACGTTCAGATCCGGACACATTGAAGATATCTCTTCAATAAGTGGACACAGTTCATCAAAATTACTGTGGCCAAAGTCGTCGCAAAGGTCACACAAACCTGCCAGCATCATGTCCATATGGAAATTGGTGGGCAAGTGGATGTAAATATATGTTCTTTTGACTCCATTGGGGAATTCCAGCAGGTACTGGTCCACAAGTCCCTTGATCGTATCTTGCCAGTACCTGACTGCTGTCTCCTCACCTTCAACCATAACACTACAGTATGATGATGCCCGTGAAACATCATCTCGATAGAGAAATCCGCTTAATTCTCCAAGTACTTGCGCACTGACACATTCGCAGGTGAACTTGTACTTGTCTGATGGAACACTTCCACGACCAAAAAGTATGCAATGCACCTTTGTTGCTGTTATGGTTTTTGAGGAACACTGGAAATATCACTGCAAGGTGGAATAGGAAAAGTCCTTGGCAACAGTTGACAGAAGCCATCTTTTCTCATCAGGATAGCTTTGAATCCTGCCTAGATCTTGTGCTGCCTCAACACAGGACTTGAAGATGTCTGAGGTAATGCCACTGAAGGAGATTTTACTGCCTTTCAAACTGCCCCCAATCAGTACTCTTTGCATCTGTTTAGCAGAATTCAAACAAATAGCTTTGTTTTCAGTTCTGTCTTTGCAACTGTGATAATCAGCTGCAAGTTTATGTAGGAATAATCATCAGTGTCAGGCTTTGTCTGGCAAATTTCACCAAATGTTCCCTTCACTTTCCACTGAGGACCAAATCACTGATAAAGTGAGGAATGTTCTCACCCTTGAAGTGAACAAATTTATTAGCAGAATCTGCCAGAAGGTCAATCGTTTTAGCCCTCAGTACTTGTTGTGTTCTTTTTTCAGCATTCTTGTAAGGCCTCAGCAGTAGATCTGGAACCTGGACTTGCTTTGATTCTGAAGGCACCATACAAGAACTTGGATTGTTAATGTTGTCCTCAAATGGTGGAATGTCAATGCTGAAATTGTTGAATTATTTTCGGGGGCTGAATCGTTGAGGCAAACAGTTAGACTGGCTCTTTCTTCCTAAACAGAAACAACAAAGAGAAAATTAATTTCTCACTATTTCATTTATTGCAGACTGCTAAGCTCAGGGCTGATGACACTGTAATGTACACTAAAAAATTACTTCAAACTATTTCATCTTCATCGTTCAGTAATGTACAATGATTCGCTTACCTCTAACTTCCTACACTTTTTTCCAGCACAATTTTTCCTCAGCATGCCAGGCAGATTTTCCTCTTCCTATTTGTTTTTTAGAAGAGTTGTAGTCGCAGAAGTGAACTTCATCTGGAGCCACAACACGCAAACTGTCTGAAGAAATCTCTCTGTGATGCCATGTGCCATATTTCAGACACGCACATTTACCCACAAACAGCATTCACACGAAAGCCAGGAGATGAAACGAAACATGGAATGAAAACTATATACACTATTTGTACTATATACAATATCTACACTATTTACAATATTGACAAGTGAGATTTTTTGAGAGAGAGCCATGGATATCATCAAAGATGGCTGTCTAGTTGAACTGACTTCGGTAACTTCTGAAAACCTAACTTCCGCACATTCCAAACCTCTGAAACTTCACCGACTTATAGAACAATAGATTCTATACCATAAAAGGAAGATACTTCAGCTAAAATTGACTGTCTTTATTAGAACATCGGAGAAATAAAGCTTTTAGCCAATCAGTGATGGGTAACTTGACACTCAATGCAGTATTCTTGTTTATGACTCCTAGGTAATCTCCGATCAAGTCGTTTTTAATGCTGTTTTTGGCATATATTTGGTTATAAATACACCAAAATACTTTCTTTTCATATGAATGCAATTTTCCCACCATTATTATTTTTACATTTTCTCTACCATTTGTTTCCAAGATAGCTTTAGCTTCCATGAAGGAAAATGTTTTTTTCTGAAAAGTTCATATTACACCTTTTTAAATGAGATATTACAAGCTACACTGCTTTAAGACTTGGACAAAAATTAACTTACCAATAGGAACAGTTAATTTTTAAGAAACTTTGCCCCCACTGAAGGATTTTGAGAACTTCTTTTGTCTCCTTTAGGTGACCATACAAAATACTGATGATGAGGAATTCAGTGCAAAAATGGGAGAGGACATTCTCTTAACCCTTTACAGCCCAAATTAATTTTTGCCTATTTTTAAAATTTCTATTTAAAAAGACAAAAAAATATATAAGAAATGTTATGTTTCAGGGATCACCCTCAAACTTGTCCATTATTTATTAAGTAGATGTGCTACATTTTAAGATGTTTAAAAAAATCACTAACATTGATTGACAGCTGTCATATCAAGTTAAATATTACTAATTGTGTGACATAATAAAGACAATGTTCTCATTTCACTGCTGTGGCTACTTTATCTTTTAAATGAAAATTCTGAAATCCACTTCAAATCGAAGACTGTTGTCCACTGAACATTTTGATATGAAACACATATAATGTTTGATGCCTATCTACCCCAAAAATGATTGTTTTCTTCAGTTGATTGACATCTCACGCAATTCACTTTGAAGAATAAATTGGTCAGAGTACTAAAATCAACTTATTTGAAAAAATAACTATTTTTTATCCAAGGAAATAAGTTGATATATCCTTAAAAAGTGCTCAAACAACAAGCAATGTCAGGATTGATGATATATGCAAAAACAGGGTGCGGCACAAAGTCCCAGATTGCACTCCGGGCAAAAGTAGCTTGTGCGCTTAAATTTCTTGGCATCAGAGCACACTTTGCATCTCCTCTCCATTCTTCTCCCTTTTTCAGTGGTAGGAAGATACTGAGGGAAGTGCCTTTCAACCTGCCTTTCAAACATGGGCTCAGTGGAAGGCCTCCCGCGTTTCCTCCTGGAGCAAAAGTCACCGATCAAGTCTTTGACCAGACTGATACGAAAGCTTTTCAAGTTGCGCTTTCTGTGACGTGACTCCTGCTCGAGAATAAATGCATTGAAAATAGCTCTGTCAAGAAGATCAAATAAAATTCTAATCCACCATTTTTTTCCAGACACTGGGATGGTGTAATAGGATTTCATTTGATCATTCTTATCGACACCGCCCATGTACTTGTTGTACGCAGAGATGATGGGTGGACAGGTAACTTTTTGTATTCTGCCATCTTTCTGCTTCCTGTTGATCTCTGGGAGTTGCTGAGGGGGAGCAGTGGTGTATGTGCCAGCAGCAAACACAGGTTTCTTGTCTATCCATGCAACAGCAAGCACTGGGCCTTTCATCCGCCACAAAATATCACCCCTTTTCAAGGGTTTCAGAGCTGCCTTGTCAAAGATACGAGGGAATTCTTTTCGGCCCTGTCGAAGTGTTCCACAACAAAGTATCTTGTAGTCGACATACAGATCCTCTATCAGCTTGTATGAGGTGAAAACGTTGTCACAGAATATGCTATACCAGTGCCCCTTTATTGATGCACACAGCTTGGTGACAACTGAGTAGCCCAGGCCATGTTGGACACCCTGCTGAGACTTTCCAGTATAGATGTCGAAGTCACACAAGTAGCCATTGGTGCTGTCTGCCCTACACCACATCTTTATGCCCCTCTTGATTGGTTTCATGGGCATGTACTGCTTGAGTGAGGTTCTCCCTTTATCTTTTATCATTGCCTCATCAACAGCTTGTTCACGGTGAGGATGATAATTTACCTTGAAGTTTGTCTTCAAGTCTTCAAGAAATTGACGAACCTTGAAAAGTTTGTCAAAGTTCTCATCTCCAGGTCTTGGCATCTTTGAATTGTCTGACAAATGCAGATTACTCCAGATTTCAAGAAACCTATTCCTGGGTATGATGTTGGCATAAGCTGGGACACCCAGGACCCAGTCAGATGACCAGTAATCTCGAAGACACGGAAGACAATGAATGCTCATAGCAATCAGAAAGCCTAAAAGTGCTGTCAGTTCTTGTAAGGTGACTTCAACCCATTTAGAAGGATCTTTATTTTGTTTTTCTAAAGTCTGAACAGCATACCTGTTTGTTTCCCTCACCATGTTGTTCAGCATGCGATTATCAACAAAAAGTAAAAAGAAGTCAAGAGCCGAGGCTTCCTCTGTCATAACCCTCGAAGGTCCAACAGCTCGGCTAAACAATGGCACCTCCAAATCATTGCCTTGGCTGCTCCAATCTAAGCCTTCACATTCCCAGGTCTTCCTCTACTCCCGCTTGCTTCAGTAGGATCTGCTGAATCTTCAGTGATGTCAACCGTTCGAAGATCAAGTTCTTCGTCTTCATCATCGTCAAGAGTGTCCGGTTCAAAATGTAAATCATTGCTATCTTCCTCGTCTTCATAACCTTCGAGATCTGAATCCAGCCCCTCATCAGGTATGTCAAATCCATCGTCCAAATATTCGAGGATTTCTTGCACTGTATAGTGCCTATTAGCGCTGGCCATGTTGACAAAGGCCCTTTAAATTTTCCCGGTCACGCAATAGCCAAAAATTTCAAAAAAAACCCGATCAAAAACAGTCAAAAGACAACAGAATCGAAGAGAATTACAAAAGCAAGATGGCCGAAAAACATTGAAAGCTGAGGGAAGCTTGGGTACTAAAAACAGCGAGTCCGCTGAACGAAAATTTGGCGATGCGTCTGCCATACGATATATCGTACGCTGGGCGTCAAAGGGTTAAAGTTGTTAGATAGACCAGACATGTTAACATTAGATGAAAATGCATTGGCAGAACATTTGCTTTTTATGAACGATGTAAAATTAACGTACAAAAAAGACACTTTCCTAGTAACAAGTATTTGTTAGTGTTTCTCACACATTAGTCTAAATCATGAATTATGTACTTTGACTACTCATCTTTCAAGTTAAGTTTCTGTTACAGTGGTCAGTTTTTGTATATCGAGTATTAAATTGTTGGTTTGTCGCATATTAGTCTAAGTGATGAATTATGCACTTTGACTACTCCTCTTTCATGTTAAGTTTGCTACAGAGGAGGTACGTTTCTAAAGAAACTGGTGCTGCGTCAGTGGGGAATATAACAAGATAATTTGGCTTTATCAACTGGGTTGATAATGTGTCAGTTATGGCCTAATCATCTAGGCTGAAGTAAATAACTTCATATATTTACTTTTTACCTAAAATTCACAAACCTAACAACCCAGGTCGACCTATCATCTCTGTCTGTAGTTGCCCTACTGAACTCATTTCCAGCTATTTAGACAAAATTATGGCACCTATCGTCGAATCTTTACCGTCATATGTTAAAGACAGTCAACACGTGCTTCAAATTTCTCACAATTTCAATTTCCTGGGCGAAGACAAACTAATTTTCACCATGGATATTATGTCTCTTTACACCATCATCCCAAATGGTGAAGGTTTTCTAGCCCTCAAACATTTTTTCGATTTACGCAGTGTTAAGGAACCAAGCTCAGAAACACTGCTCAGCCTGGCTGACCTAGTGTTAACACTCAACAGTTTTTCATTCGCAGACAATTATAAACAAATCAATGGCGTGGCTATGGGTACCAAAATGGTACCCAGCTACGCCAATCTTTTCATGTGCTACATTGAACACCAACTTTTTAATCAGTACAACGGTCCCAAACCTGTACTCTACCATCACTACATTGACAACTGCATCAGCGCTACCTCTTCTACCAGAGAGGACCCCCAATCAATTTATAACTGCTGTCAATTTGTTTCGTCCTGCTCTTAAATATACCTGGGAAATTTTCGATACTTCTTTAGCTTTTCTGGATATCAAAGTTTCTATCGAAGGCTGCGGTTTAGCACCAGTGTGCACTACAAAAGCACAGATTCTCGTAGTTATTTGTATTCATCTTCACATCCATCATATGTCAAGAATTCCATTCCTTATGCCCAGTTTCTTAGACTTCGTTGTCTTTGTAGAGATGACTGATTTTTCCTTAAAATCAGAGGAAATGTGTGACTTCTTCGACAAACGTGGCTATCCTGCTTCTGTTGTTCAAGTGGGCCATCATCGTGCCCAACATCTTGATTGACAGTCAGCACTAGAAATGTCACAGAAGGAAAATAATGATAGAATGCCATTCACCCTCGCATTTCGCCCTCACAACCATGCAGTAAAATCCAACATTCTAAAAACCTTTAAATTACCTCAAAATGATCCCAATACTGGTAGAATCTTTTCGCAACCTCCATTAATTTCATTCAAACATTACAAAAACAGGAAACTTTTTAGTCAGAAGTGCATTCCAAACAAGTGATCAAACCGGAACTTTTAAATGCCCATGCACACGATGCGAAACATGTCCTTTCATTCGAAACTTTGAGCGATCCATCGAGATCACTGATTATTTCACCTGTACCTCAGCCAATGTCATCTACTGCATAACTTGCACTTTTTGCCAAAAGTTATACATCGGCAAAACAGGGAGACGACTAGGTGACCGATTCCGAGCACACCTTCGTGACATGGAGAAAGACGACAAAAATGCATCTAAACCAGTTACGAGACACTTTAATCTCCCCGATCATTCTAAGCAACATATGGTAGTCTGCAGCCTTTCCCTACATCAAGGAAGAACAGAAAGCCGCAAAACTGTAGAACAAAAATTTATTTTCAAATTGGCACTCTTAATCCTCACGGTATCTATGAACGCTTTTCGTTCAACTAATGTATTCTGTTGTTTTTCAAGTTACCATGCACCAACCAATAGGGTAGCTCCATCTTTCTGTATATAAACCACACACAACCCACAATTCCTCTATTTGCTCTGACGAAGGGCTAACACTCGAAACGTCAGCTTTCTAACCTCTTTACGGTGGCCAATTCACATTATCAACCCAGTTGATAAAACCAAATTAAGTTTGCTACCGTCGTCAGTTTTTATATAACAAGTATTAAATTGTTAGTTTGTAGCACATTAGTCTAAGTGATGAATCATGTACCTTGACTACTCATCTTTCATGTTAAGTTTCTGTTACAGTTGTCAGTTTTTATATAACAGGTATTAAATTGTTAGTTTGTCACAAATTACCTAAGTAATGAATTATGTACTTTGACTACTAAGCTTTCATGTTAAGTTTCTGTTACAATTGTCAGTTTGTATAAGATATGAATATGATTCACAAAGATAATTTGAACTTTCACATACACACATTTGAACTTACAAATAAATTGTTGTTATTGTTCTTGTTGGATGACAATTTCTATACTATTATGCCCTTGAAATATCATTGTAATTATCATTGTAATTAATAGTCATGAAGAAATATTAAAACAATTTGTCTTTTTCCTCACTGCTTATATACAGAACAAAAACATTTTTGTTCATTATCAACTGTAACAAACTAAATAGTCATTTTTCATTCAAGAGCAAATGAAAATACTGCTTTTGATTAGAATAATCTCAATAAGCCTGGGTACTACTGTTGAATCACATAACAAACAAATTGGAAAATAATAGTACAAAATATGCATATTTCAGGAGTTCATGAGAACCACTCTAACAACCCCATAAAATTATTAGTTCATCTGGTAATAAGCTTTGGTAGTGACGTTTTCTTTTCTTTTGGTGACAACAAAATAAACTATTGGTTTTCTTGCATGGGTTAAGTGTGATCACCCTAGCACTTGAAGCTGGTTATAATTGAAAGCCATCTCAGCCTGGGATCTTTTGCTAACCAAGAAAAAGAAAACATAAGAAGAAAGCCTGTTTATTTATTTATTAAGCTTCGGCCTACTATTACACATAAAGAAAAAGAAAAAGAAGAGGAAGCAAAAAAAAA